GAAATCTTGATGGTGAGTCCTGGTCGAAGACTAAAATGTAACACAGATATTTTCTTAAGTTATTTCACACGTCGAAACATCCTTCAGCTTGTTTTATTTATTCCATTTTTAGTCTAAAAGACCAAATATAGCAGGTGTCGAATTCAGAAGCCAACAGCAGACCAGTGCAATTATTATAATTCAGGTAGAAAACATTTTAAAATTTATCATCATAAAACATTTTAAAGCATGTATTTTATAGTTGTTGGAAAATTTCCATACATCCTACTTAGCATAATATCATGTCTTTGTGATTATGTATTTCCACCCAATGTGTATGGAGCGGAAAAGTCGCTCGGTGAGAACTACGAAATCTCAAGATCATGAAAACTTTTTTTAATAAAGCAATGAAATGTTTTAAACATTTAAAATAATTTTGTAATTATATAAATTTTCCTGATAGCACTGTAGTAATTAGTAAAGTGAGTTCCCTTTTGTACATTGATAGAATGGAAAAATGTAGAAAGTTTAGATATGTAACACTAGCAGAATCTTGTTACTTATTAGTATAAATTATGTTACGGTTCTTTTTAGCAGTTGGCATCATTTCAAAAAGAAACAAATGCCATGATTGCATTATTCTTGCGAGATTTATTTATGTGATATTTTATTTTGATTTCCTTAACAAAATCTACCTATATCTTATTTTTTATCGATCTTTTGAAAATGGTCACCAATACCTCCCTTATACCTCCATTAAGAGATAAATAACTTAAAAAAGTATTTAGAAAACAGTTTTCTCAATTTTTTTTTGTTGAGATATGATATATCTCATGGATCTAGTACCCAAAGCTCTGCAAGTCTTTTGTCTGCTTGTTTTGTATATGCATTTTTCAATTTTTGGTTTCTAGTTTAAAACCGCGAAACTCAGTTGAATACTCTATTCTTCAACTTTAATATTTTTCTTTTCATTGTCCTTCCATATACTTCATCGTGATTAGACCTTCTTTTTCCTTATCTTTTGTCTATCTATGGTCTATAAGAAAGATTTTCACAAGATTGCATTACCTTGAAGTATACAAGTGGTTCTTGTTGTTGACCATTCTTTATCGGAGAAGCTAACTACTGAAAATGAGAAGCTCAAGGTGAGTTGATTATGAGTGTTCGATTATTGTAAATTTCTATATAGTAGGTTTTAAAATAATGAATATGTAGTTTTATAGAATATAATGTTCATTATAAATTTATAATTGTTATATTAAGTTAGGTGTGTATATGTGTTTGTGTTAAACTCTATCTATTGTGTTGATTTGTTTACTATTTCAAATTACATGTTAAGTTATAACATTTGTTGTAAGTTATTGTCATTTGTGTGTTTTTAAATGAAATGATTCTAATGATCTGTGAAATTTGTCCGAACATTGTAAAAACTACTTTTTTTCATCCTTGATTAGTTTGTTCAACATCACTTCTTATCAGTAGGATTTAGTTTATTTCTAGACCAATTATCGTTGTAAAGGTGAGTTATGTATGTAAATGAATAATTGTTAATACATATTTATAAGAACTTTTAAATAATTTTACTCAACAATACTTTTTGAAAATAAACTGATTAATATTTCAGTGGTGAGAAATGTTTTACAAAATGAATGGCCGAATAACTGTTTTGCAATATTATTTACTTTTGAAAGCTTGACATTAGCGTCGGTTAGGTTGAAACTAAACAAATTTTGTTGACTTAAAAATTTACATTTAGCGTCGGTTAAGTCGAAACATAATTGTTTGTTGACTTTTAAAGTTTGACTTTAGTGTCGATTTAGTCGAAGCTAAATAATTGACTTTTAAAGTTTGATTTTAGTATCGGCAAGGTGTAGCTAAATAATTCACTGACTTTTGCTTGTAAGCGTCGACATCAACCTAACGCCGACTTAAACTCGGCTAGGTCGAGGCTAATATAGCCATGGCTATTATAAGTCGACGCTAAATTTTTAGCTTCAACTGTTTGAGGCCCGACATCGACCCTAAACTGATGCTAAAACTACATTAGTGTCAGTGTTTTGCTAAAAGTTGTTTTTCTAATAGTCGAAAGTTGTTTTCACCATTGCAGAATTTCAAAAAGCATCTCAATGGAGATTGAACCCATGACTTTACACATTATCCGTCGGTTGTTCCAAAATCGAGGTATGACTCCAAGACTTTTCATGACACCTTTGTTACCTCGCGTGAGAAACAAAGGTAAGACATCTTTTTCAACCGAAGTTAAAGATATTTTTTGTTGTAGTGCAGACACTCTTGAAAGACCACATAAGTCATATAATCAAAAGGTACTTGAGGTTAGGGATGATCACACCCAATATGTAAATTGCGTTTATTGGCGTATGGTGGATACGAAGAGATCGGACATATAGGCCAAACTTTTTTAGGAAGACATTCTCCAGTTGGCCCTCATAGAGCCAAGACACAAAATTCCTTGCAGTAGAGGCGGAGAAGCCGGAGGATTAGACATTCTCAGTAAATTATGTTTGATTGTATTGTTTTTTGTATTTTCGAAACAAATTATATGATCTATATATTTTAATTTTACTTTAGTTAATGTGTGACTTTTATCTTTAACTTTACCTTAATATAACTTGATTTTACTTTAATATAAGTCATCTCGAAATACTACAATATTGAAACAATGTTGTTGCCTTGAAACCATTAAAAATAATTTCTGAAAAATACATCTTCAAAATATTTCATGAGTATAATAAACACGCTTTTAATGCCATTTAAATGATTTCATGAGATTTTTCGAATATATATCTCTAAAAACACCCTAAAAGAATCATAGAGATACATCTCTAAAAGAAGATAAAATATTTTAAATGCCAAGAGTTGTTGGGCACATCCCAAAGGATAGAAAGAGCACTTCCCGTTTATTTTATACTTTCTATCCTTTGTTCTTTTGCTTAAAACTTCTTACGGTGATAGTGCATTGTTATTCTTATTTTTCTATATGTCTTCAATAATTTGACTTCTATTCACGAATATTTAAAAGAAATTACCAATAACTTTTAACAAATTTAATTTTATAAACATATAATTGTATTAGAACCATGGTGACGTTTGGTCAATCTGTTTTATCTTTTGGAAGAGATAAAAACAATTCTAAAAATACAGAATTGATTTTAAATAATTTTAAAATGTTTAACTATTTTAAAGTAGAAATGAATTTGCCTCTAAATTTAATTCTTCTTGAAATTTAATTTATAATTTTTGAATTTAAACATAATTTTTACAGTGAAATTTGTTGTTTAATTTCCTTTTACTTTATATTCAACTCAATTTTAATCAAAATTAATTCTATAAAATCAATTCATTCAAAATCAATTTTCTCCCCCCCATGAATTAAGGGTGTGTGTTTGGCAACAATGCAAGTTATTGCTACTGCACGTTCATACCCTATCCACCCTAAGTTTTTTTGAAAGCGTTTATACATCGTGCAATCACATTTTAAATTAATGGAAAAATGAATATTCATCTATTAAAAAATGGTATAAGATGAATTGAAATTTTTTAATAAAATAAATTAATAGACTACTTTAAATCTTTAATCCATCCATTAACTTCCAAATCTAAATTTCATTCAATTCATCATTTTTGTCACCTTAATCCTAAAGGCTTAAGGTAGAAGAAAAGAAACATTAATCACCTTTTAATATATTTTTTTAATTCATAGATGAAGTTACAATAACCTTTATAATCAGAATAATATATTTAACCCAACAATATCAGTATTTTCAAATAGACAACACTGACAATCATCAAAACAATTAAGTCCATAACCGAAGGTATAGAAGTATCATGCTAGTCAACAAATAATTTTGAAAGACAAGAAGTTGAGTCATGAGTCAAAAGTTGTGATAAAAATTATCATGCTAGTCAACAAATAATTTTGACTATATGGACAAAATTTAGGAATTAACATATCAGACTTACAAGCATGTGCTGTTTTTCAACTTCTTCTGCTCAGCATTACGTTCACTCTCCCTTTCACTCGCAGGCTTATGCTCCAGAAAAGGAGATATGTTATTGTTAACCCTTGGTGAGTGTAGCTTAAGAAACACTCGATATAACTCTTATTCAAATTCTGTTACAATCAATCAAAACAGAATTTCAAAACAAGTCTAGAATGCATCACATTTATCATTTCTAAAAGGAAAAATTACAGCTTACCAAAGCAGAATTGAAAGGAATCTACTCTGATCTTGACGATGGACAGAGATTAACCTTCTAACACCAAAAAAACTAATGTAAAATGTAATTATGCATCACATTTATCATTTCTAAAATGGTATTATAGAGCTTGGTTCAGATCTCCGATCATGGCTGAACCACCAACATCCCCTCCACCCCATCTACATCACTCGCATGGAGCCAATCTCTGCCTAAGATGACAAAGTAGGTAGAATTTAAGTCTATCATGAAGAAAGCAGACCTTACCTCCTTTAGCCCTGCCACAAATTCGACAATGAGCATCTCAAATGTGCTACATCCTACGCCCGTGAAGCTAGTCACCTTCATGTTGGTTGAAAGGTTTCTTCCTAACCTCCTTAATGTTATAAGTGGCCTCCATCCACAAAGACCCAGAAAAACTTTTGACATTGATCAAAACCTTGATGAACAATGGCTTCAGATGCGCAATCATCTCCCTAGTGGGATTTTCAAATAACAAGCCCCCGGTCTCCTTAGCTTTTCAAATAACCTTGGTTGGACTTCAGCATCCCAGAACTTCATATTAGCATAAGAAAAAATTTATTGAGATAAGAAATCCAGTTGCAATATATGCATACGAAGAAATTAGAAATTCAAACGAAGAAGGATTTTATATAATTTGTAATAGTTCTCCTGATAATTAAAGTCAAGGTGTTAAAAGTTTTCCACAGTGGCTAAACAAATAAAACATATAACAAGGCAGAAAACAATAATCTTATCACAAACAACATCAATAAACATAAAAACATTTATCTTTTTGCAAACTATAGCATTCCCGCTATTGGCAACACTTGTACAATCACATTGTCTTTGTTTTCGGAATTATCACCAGGAACAAATAAACAATCACCACAATCAGCAGAAAGAAGTGACGTAGTTCTATATCTATTTTCACCTCCAACTACTGGCATCGCCACACCTAACTTAGCCACTGGATTTTCAAAATCCGGCGGATAAGTCCTACCAAGAACACCTTCAACTTTCGAAGACAGATCGTAAAATTTAAACTGAACATCCAAATGAGCAAAACAATCATTATCAGGAATTTGATAGTTATGAACATTAACAACAGCACTGTTGGTGTTTGATGTTCTCTCTGCACTAATTTTCTTTTCTTGAATTTACCATTTAGAGAGGTAACCTTGTCGAACATGAAGTTCCTCCCCCTCCCCATTGTAAGAGAATTTCAAATGATAAATTTCATTATCCCTTTTTTTGTTGGTTTGGTTACTTCAACAATGAAGTTGTGAGACTCAAATAGGGTTCCAAGTGCTCGAATCCATGGATAAATTTCAAATGATAAATTTCATTATCCCATTTTGTTGGTTTGGTTACTTCAACAATGAAGTTGTGAGAGTCAAAGAGGGTTCCAAGTGCTCAAACCCATGTATAATCTCCCATTTTGTTGGTTTGGTTACTTCAACAATTAAGTTGTGAGAGTCTAAGAGGGTTCCAAGTGCTCAAAGCCATGTATAATCTCTTGGTCTACCTTTTGGTCTTAGGCCAATGAAACATGCATTGATTTTGGAGATTTTGATCAGAGACTAAGGTAAAATCTTGATTGGACCTTCCATGGAAGTAGAAAACTATTCCGTCTGCTCCAACAAAGCGTGGGCCTAAGCATGCTGATCCACGACCAATGCAGTTTGGTTTGCGGTCTGCAGTTATTGAATTTTCAAATAGAGAAATGAAAACTTGATATTCTTCTTACACAAAATAGTAAATGAAGATAGAATAAAGAACTTACGCTGCATACGGGAGAAGCACAGTCAAGAGAGCAAACTTTGGCATTTGGGTCAGAGGGTGATTTAAGAGGGCACTGAGTAGGGCATTTAATTTTCTTCCCAAAGCATGGACGGCTCAGAAAGTTGCAGCTCATATGGTCTGTTACTGCTCCTGCAATTGTTTCCATATTCATTGCAAACGAAAACAACACAAAATATTAAGCAATTTCTCCTTGAGACACCCATCACTACTAGCTTCATCTAATAATAATACAAAGGAAATAAACTCACCTTCACGTTCAGCTTATAAGAATTTGAGAGTGTGACCAAGTTACAACTCAGCGAAAACTTTAAATTGTTTAAAAATAAGGAAGGCATCAGACTTAGCTTTTAACGAATGTATTTGTGTGAACCTAGAATAGACACCAACAAAAGTTATGTAGTAACGGTAATCAAGAGAGGAAACAATGGGAGTTGGCCCCCAAATATCAGTGAAAACAAGTTCAAGTGGGTGTTAGAACCAAAATATTTTATAGACAAACCTAATTCATCCCCTTTTAGGATCTCCTCGGACCTTAAAACCAAAAAGAGCTCATGAATGTTCCTTGCACCTTTTGTCACATGAAAGAAGCATCAGAATCTAGGAACTATGCAATTCTATTTGTAGAATTGGCATTGGTAAGCTCTGCACTAAGCTGAGCAAATTGAATAGAATGAGATCATGGTTGTATCTGAGGACACGTCCAAGTGTTGGAGTGACCTAACAAAAGAGATAACCACTAGCATTTGGACCATAGTTGGGAGTTCCATGTGAGAATGGACTGTAAGAGTTAGTGTAATTTGCAGAAAATTCCTGATAATTTGAAGGAACTGTGGCCCGGAAGTTCTGGTTAAAACAATTCCAGCAAGAAAAGGCTAGATGGCCAAATTTAAAACAAATCTTACAATGAATATGAGAGAACAAATATACCTGTTCATGACCTCATCCATTTCTTCCTGCACAGCCACGATTAGAACCAATTTGAGACGGATCAGACGAGTGTATGGTGGTGCAGAGGATTGAGGTGCAAGTTGATCGCTATTAGGTTGGGAAGAAGATGCATGAGTAAGGTCAAGAGATAAAACCTCTTCAACAATTTTCTTCTTGAACTTGTCAAGACGAATTTCATGAGCAAGTAAAAGTGCCGCAACAACATCAATATCCATAGTTTCAAACTTACTTTCAACAACAAAAATAACTTGATTGAACATCTGAGGCAAACCTTCTAATATCAAATCAATGAGACGACGAATACGTAGTAGATACTCTTGAACAATAAAATTTTCAAGAGACGTGAATCACAATTCAAAACGTAATTTTTGTGCCTTAGCAGGCATATGTTTTTGAAAATAGTCAAAAAGTTTACCGCATAGCTCATAAGAATGAGCACAAACAAGAACACAACTGAGAGTCTTATTAGAGAGTGTGGATTGAAGCCACAAAATAAGTATTTGATCACTTTGACGCCATTAACTAAACTCATAGTTTAGAAGTCTCAGTGGAATTGAAGGAGAAACAAGAAAACCATGGAGGCTGTGAATGTTGATGTAAGGATACACTTGTTGATGCCAAACATAAAAATTCTTATTGAGTTTCAAATAAATGTTCAAGGTGAAGATCCATCATCTATGAAAAATGTTGTCCATGGTGGATGGCAGTCCATGACGGAGAGCCAAAATTCTGCCATATCAACCACAAAAACAAATGTGGATGGGGGAGAACAAATGTGAGTGCCACCACCAGTACCCAAGGTTGGTGATGGTGGAGAGGATGGAGGATGAGGCTCGGTGGATCAATGGCTCTCTGATACCATGTTTAATTTCAAAAAATTCATTACTTTTTTTGTTTTTCTAACGAATATTGGTAGCTACTGTCTTTGAAAATATGCATACTAAAATTATTGTCTAACACACAGCATTCTACATAAACATAAGCGATTACTTGGACTATAGAAAGAAAAAGAAAATTACATACATCTTAGTAGGCTTTGAATTTTGAGTTGCTCAATTCCAAGCATTGTCATGCAAGTTTCCCTGGGGAATGTAGCAGGTAACAACCTGATTTACCCTTTCCTTCCTCCCTGCTGACAAATCTCAGCATCAAGTCCGCTGGCCCTTTATCTGATTCTAATTCATCAACAAGGTGCTGTTCAATCATTCAATTGCCTAGCTAAGATTATGTCGGTCAGTTGCATTCAATGGATGTGGTACAAAAACAGATGATCATTGGCAGAGAAGAATATACATACAACAATTGCAAATATTTTCTGCAGTATTTAACTAATTGAATAGCAAATATAACAACAACATGCAAAGCAATCAAAAGAATAAACAAAATCAGGCCAATAGTTGGAAAAACTTATCTTTAATTACAAAACTACAAGGAAACGTATGGGATCAGGCAACAAATGAATCATCCGTTTATCAAGCAGGAATCATATGGAAACCAATATGCAGTAAAAAATAATTAGATAAATAATTAGACAAATAATTGGATTCAACACACAGTCAGCGTCACTTGCTATACACTCGAGCGATTCGACACCTTAATGCTGCGACTTGCACTGCGAAGAGCTTCTTCAACATTCGCACCCCTGTTTTTATAACAGAGAGGCTGTGTCAGAAAATCTCTTATTCGCCGCGTATTTGTTGATGCTCCAAGTGTCAAGTCCTTAATGCAAGGAGGTCCTTAAGATCCATCGCGGACTCAATAAAAGCCATTATTAGTTCCATCCATGTGCTTCTCATAATCTTCAAACAAGTCCTCAGGAGGGTCATAGATGATCATATCCGGAAAAATCTCTAAAAAGTCGTATTTAATTTTCTCTCTTAACTCCGGATATGGAATGAGTCCCTTTAATATTACACGAAAAGGCAATGACAGAGGTGACTCAGGAGATTGTCTCATTTCTTCATATATGTCCATAGCCTCTGAGGTCAATCCACTATCTAGATAGGCTCTAATAATGTCTCCAAATGTATGTTGATCAAATAAAACTCCCTCTCTTTTCAAATCATCCCACACCCTCTTTGTTTCATCCAAACTTTTGTTTCTTGCAAGCATCATAAGCATGTCCCTATAAAAGAACATGTCCGGCCGGTACCATATTTCTTTGCGAACTATATCGTATAACTGAGAAAGGAAAAATTTGTCAATAAACAACTAATGCATTTCAATAATTTAGATCAATTCGCTAAAGCAATACAAACACCCCAAATTGGATAGCATTTTAACATTTTACCCTCATCGAAACTGAATAATTGAATATTCAGATTTTGCTTCCCCTACTCTATTCCATCAGATAGAAACACACAACAAAATAGAAAACGTTCATAGACCTAAGCAGTTTACAGATGCAATCTCACAAGGAAGAAACTTCTACGATTGCAATGAGTATCCATTTCAAACAGACGAGAATTATGCGAAAATCTTTGATCAAAATTAGTTCAAAGAATATTGAAAATGAATCTCAAAATTAGGTAAAAGTTTGAAAAAGAAAGATAAAAAAATTCACCTTCATGGAGAGGAAGACATTATCCTGCCTCTGGAATTCAAAGAGGACGGAGACGAGGTCGGACTTGAGCAAGCGGGACACACTGGAGCGGACAAAGCGGTCGAAACGAACCGGGTCGGGTTGGAGTCTCTTGAGCTCTTTGGTAATGATGAGACCTTCTTTACCCAACTCTTTCTTCCGCCTCCATATGGATAGGCTCGGTTTGGAAGCCGAACCGGAAATGGACCGAGAAGAGGATTTGACGAGGGTGTGTGCGAATGTTGAAGAAGCTCTTCGCAGTGCAAGTCGCAGCATTAAGGTGTCGAATCGCTCGAGTGTATAGCAAGTGACGTTGCCTGTGTGTTGAATCCAATTATTTGTCTAATTCTTGTCGCTTCCTCCTTCCTTCGAGATCTTCTTCTCTACCTTGGGCTTCTTCTCGGCAGGGGATTTCTCTGCCACTGGTTTCTTCTCAGCTGGCTTCTTCTCTGCCTTTGTTGGAGTTGTTGTTGGCTGGTATGGGTTTGTGGTAAAAGGATGATAGAGGATAATTGATCAAGATATCGGGTGTTGATGATGATTTGTGATGAACGAAGAGAATGTATATATAGGGTTATGAAAAGAGTTCTGATTGGAAAGAACTGCACTACGCGGATCGATGACGTGTCGTGTTTATATTTCGTTGATTTGTATTACTCACTAACGGTGGAGATTGCACTTTATTCTTTTTGCTTGGACTCGGATCAAATACTACGCGATTGCCACCTATTCCAACTCTACACTTCTACATATTTTTTATAATTCAAGTTTACTCCCTTCATGATTTATATTTTATATTTTGAAATGTTTACACTTTTTTTTATAAAAATGTTACTTTTGAAATTCATGAAATTTACCAAAATCTAAAATACATTAAAAATATAACGTAGCAGAAATTTTTCTAATATTTAAAATAAAATTAATAAAAACTAAAATATAGACTAAAGTAAGAGTACGGCATAAATAGTGCACCAAATATTTATAGGTAAGAGTACGGCCTAAATAGTGCATCAAATATTTATATTAAATGCGGTATATACAGCATATATATAAAAAAATAATAATAATAAACGGTACCTTATACATCATCTTTTTTCACTAGATGAGGTATATTTTGGATAAATCAAATATATGGTATATTATATATGGGGTGACGAATGAGTTCAGTCCGTAAGACATTTCTGTTTTGCCTGTATTTTTTTATTGGAGTGAATCAAGATTTTAGACTCGTATTCTTTAATATATTCAATTTGTTTCATTTTATTTTTTGTGGGTTTTTGATAAAGATATCGGGTGTTGATGATGATTTGTGATGAACGAAGAGAATGTATATATAGGGTTATGAAAAGAGTTCTGATTGGAAAGAACTGCACTACGCGGATCGATGACGTGTCGTGTTTATATTTCGTTGATTTGTATTACTCACTGACGGTGGAGATTGCACTTTATTCTTTTTGCTTGGACTCGGATCAAATACTACGCGATTGCCACCTATTCCAACTCTACACTTCTACATATTTTTTATAATTCAAGTTTACTCCCTTCATGATTTATATTTTATATTTTGAAATGTTTACACTTTTTTTTTTTTAAAATGTTACTTTTGAAATTCATGAAATTTACCAAAATCTAAAATACATTAAAAATATAACGTAGCAGAAATTTTTCTAATATTTAAAATAAAATTAATAAAAACTAAAATATAGACTAAGGTAAGAGTACGGCATAAATAGTGCACCAAATATTTATAGGTAAGAGTACGGCCTAAATAGTGTATCAAATATTTATATTAAATGCGGTATATACAGCATATATATAAAAAAATAATAATAATAAACGGTACCTTATACATCATCTTTTTTCACTAGATGAGGTATATTTTGGATAAATCAAACATATGGTATATTATATATGGGGTGACGAATGAGTTCAGTCCGTAAGACATTTCTGTTTTGCCTGTATTTTTTTATTGGAGTGAATCAAGATTTTAGACTCGTATTCTTTAATATATTCAATTTGTTTCATTTTATTTTTTGTGGGTTTTTGCAGACACGGACATTAACATGAAAATTTAGGCTTAAAATGTGCAATACATGCGGGTCTATCCCGCCCCACACTCATTTTTTTGCGGGGCGAAACAAGATTTTAGGCCCGCACCCTCAATAAAGTATGCTTCGCCCCGTTTTTTTGTGGACTGTTACGGAGCAGGGCTTAATGGAGCGGGCATGTCTGTTTACCACCCTTAATCATATATAACTAGCAAAAGAAGATGTATGAGCGACAAGATAGTTCTTAAATGTGATTAAGAGTGAGAATAAACCAGGTCGGCCTACATAAACCTATAGCCTAGTTTATTTAAGGTCATGTCATGTCATGCCTATTTAATAAAAAAATCAGACTTAAACTTTTTTAAAAGCATATTTAATTAAATAGGTCATGTGAGTAAAACTTGGTCCCTTAAGTGTTTTGAGTGATGTAAAAAATATGAGAGTCTTGCACTATCTGATTGAATATTATCTGAGTTTAGTATGGCACCTTATTATTTGGGAATCATTAAAAGTTACCTTGAAATTGAGTCAAGACACTAAAAATTTGCATTTGGTCATATTTTCGTTGCATGTGTCGACACATTCGCTTTTCAGGTCGACACGTGTAACTCATTTTTAAAGCTTGTAAGCTTTTGTAAGTCTTAAGTCGACACATGCATCATTTCAGGTCGACACATACTGAAGCATTTCTAAAAATGCATAAATTCTTATTTTATGTGTCGACACATCCATCTTTCAGGTCGATACATTTACTAGCATTTTAAAGCTTGTAGTCTCTATCTTTCTTCGGTTGACACATAGACCCATTCAGGTCATACATACAGCATAAAATTCAAGTATGAGTCGACACATATGACATACAGGTCGATATATATTGTTTAAGTGGTCTTTTTAACTTCTTTGGTCCCAAATTTATCCTTCTTGTCCAAAAGTCTCAAAACTATATATACTCTTTCATGCATCTTTCCAACTTGTTGAAAACCATAAAATTAGCTTATTTCTCTCTTCGTCTTCAACCTACAATCTATGCATACACAATAATATTATATTGTAATGATGTTCCATTGGGGTGTCATCTAGACGATGATTGGTAGTGTCCAATTGTGTATTGGGTGGAGTTTTGTAGGGGTTTTCATTCAGGAAAAACCTCGGGTTTGGCCTCCAAGATCATTGGTTGATTTGGAGGTTTTCGTGCAAGACGTCCGAGACGTAATTATGGTAAAATGAACAACCTTAGAGTGCTTAAAATCTTTGCAAGGAACCTTGGAGCGTTTGAAATCTTTGCAAGGAAGTAACCTGTAGTACCAGATAAAATTGAAGTCCTGTATTGCAATAATTTGATATTGATGGTGTGCAAAAGCTTTGGAGATAAAAACGCAAAGGAGTAGCAAGATCCAGATAGTCATTTCTCATCTATTGTGTCTTGGTCTCTCTCGAGATCAAGGAAAGAGAAGGGGTTTAATCAACATAAAGCTTAGGGTATATGGAGTTGCTCTTGAACACTTCTCTTGTATCAACATTTTTGCACAGTAAGAATTATCCTAATTCCACTGGAATTTGGCACCGACGTACCCACA